TTTCTTTGCCCAGTTTGGTCTACAATCTCATGAGACAGCTATCAGTTGAAATCCAATGGATGGATGAGTCTACCATCTTAAAAAAAAAAATAAATAAAAAGCCTAGGCAGATTTAGAACTCGTGTCTTCATTTCTTGTTGCTGTTGTGCTTTTATTTTGCTTCTGCATTTGCAAAGGAGATGGTCCTAAGTTGGGCACCTGAGTCTCTCAGGCTGGAGATGGGTATGAAGTAATTTGTGAGAGGACAAAAACATCCTTTTTGAGCAATAGTTTTCTAAAATGTAGGAAATTATGTGTAGAGATAAGAAAGTTATTTTCTCTGTGAAAGGGTTACAGAGCCATAAAATATCTTCAGCATATTCATAATGAAAGTAGAAAAGTGTGTGAATAATGAGGAAGCAAAGTCTTCTGAAAAAAATTATTTGATACTGTCAAATCTAAAGTTCATTTCAAAGGTCCATCAGAATGACATAATCTTAATAGATTTAACAATAAAATGGAAGATGGAGCTAAAGGTCAGTGCATGCAAACTAAGGCTCATAGGCCAGAACATATTTAATTATAAATATGCAGTGATAGGGTATAAATTACGTCTACCAAGGAGAAATTTTTCAAGTCCCTGTGGTTGTTTCCCAAAAGAACCTCACTGATCAGTGATGGGGGAAGGGGGATTGTTAGGGTGTTAGAAATGTACATCATAGTGTTAGAAATTACTAAGAAAGGAACTGATAAATAGAAAAAAATCTAATGTCATCATGTTGATCTCTGATGTACTCTTCACTCTGATCACTGCACAAAAGGGTATAGGACAACTGAAAAAGATAAAAGAAAATGTCACAAGCATGCTAATATCTATGAAGTTGCTTCCAGGCAATGAAGAACTGCTGGGAAAAAAAAAAAACCCAAACAAACAAAAAACCAAAAAAACAAGAGAAAATGCTTCTCTACTTGAAAAAGGAAAGAAGAAGAGGGCTGCAAGAGAGAAATATAAAATTATAACTAATATGGAGGACATGGAAAAAATGGAAATATTCACCTTTTTTCACATGAGCTTTAGAGGCACTCTGTAAAAATTGAATCAAAGAATCACTGAATTAATTAGGTTGGAAAGCTCCTCTGAGATCATCAAGTTCAACATATGACTGAACACCAGCATGTCAAGACCATGGCACTGAGTGCCACAGCCAGTCTTTCCTTAGACACCTCCAGGGACGGTGATTCCAACACCTGAAGGTCAGTTTTAAATTAAAAAATGTATTTTTACACAGCTCAGAATACAACATAGAATTTTTTGCTGTCAGATGGTGTCAAGGAAAAACGTGCACATGGATTCAAAAGGAATTCTTTAAATTATTCAGAAATAAATCTCTTGATAGCTATTAACTGTAACCCCCTAAATGCAACCTTAATGCAGAAAGGCCCCCAACCACCAACATCCAGAAGCTGGGAAGGATCACCATGTACTTTCTGTGTGTCTTTTACTCTCTCATTTTTTGAACTCTGGGAAAGACTAGAGAGAAAGAAAGATATGCATAGCTTTAAGAAAAGATTGCATTGAATTATGTTCCTACATTTATTGTACTTCCTTGGCAGAAAAGTGGGAGCTGAAAGGATGGAAAATTCCTTTCAAGATGCAGGTGTTTGAAGAGATTCTTTGGGCCAAGTTTGACCTCAGGGATTCTTTCAGTCTTATCATGGTCCAGATGTCAGGGGGATGAGGGTGTCTCCCCCCTCACTTCTAGTGCTGCAGATCATCCCTAAGTAAGTATTATCTCTGAAATTTCAGAGCCATTGGTGACTTAAAAGCACAAACCCATTGACAGCTAAGTGTGACTTAGTGATTTACCACCTGCATGTCATGCTCAGATATCTGTTGCAACAAGTCTGCCACTGACACAAAGTGAAGTCTGTGAAGAACTGCTTTCCTTCATAAAAATCTCAGTCTTGTTTCTTATGTCAGTCGGCACCAAAAGCAGCTAATCCCCACCCCACAACACCACGTGCTTGCCCATGGCTTTATTGCATATCCCATAAATTGATAGCACTTTCCTTATTGCAGACAAAACATTTATAATTATCTCATTTGTCCTAGCAATGAAAATAATGATGTATATTCAACCTGTCATACAAAATGGTCTGAAAATGCTTTACAGATAAATAATAATTTTTTAAAAAAAAAAAATTAAAAAAAACCCAGAAAGGCTGTATGAAAAGACAAAAGAAAACAAATAGGTCTTCCTTGGTTTTTCAGCTGGAATTTCAAAGCATACCACACTTCTTTCCAAACCACATTTTATTCTTTTCAAAGTATTTGGAAGACCCAAAATGACATGTTTCTTCTGGATGTGATATTGCTTTTATAAGGATTTACTTGATATAATTTTTTTTTCCTGATCTTTTAAGGTTTGGAAATTCATCCTACTTACCCTACAATGAATTCTAATGAAAACCTAATATGATAAAAAATTGTAAAAACCTGGAATATTCAGTCACATTTTTAGAACTTTTTTAATGCCAACTTTTTTCTGATACTTTTTAAAAGTTTTGGTGCACAGATGGTAGTGATCTACACACTGTCTTTGTGAAATTAACTATATAAATTCATTTTTCAATACAGAATATCAATACAGGTGCAGAAGTACAAAATGTGAATATGGAAAATTGTGCTTATTTAATACGTGACTTTTGACTGCTTTAATTTTAAGGTTTATCCCCTTAGAGGAGTTCATGAGACCACTCAGGCGGCCTGTATTTAAAATAATTGCTACTTTACTCTCTATTTGCTTGTGGCTTTATGCACATCCTATAGCAGGGACCACTTGTGCATGTCCTATAGCAAGGATTGTTGGGGAGCTGCAATGTCTCAAAGATCTGCTGTTAGTGGCATGGAGCAGAGCCAAATATGTGCCTGTCTGTTCTGCATCACCATTCCTTACCCCTGATATTTCCATACATCACCTGGAAAGAGGTCCTGCCAAATGCCATGGCCAGGGCAATGGGGAGAGGTGGGCAGGAAGCTTCCCAGGCTCTGCTCACCTACTCAGGCTAAGACTCGGCACCCTTTTCCTGAACTGGAGGGTGCTTTCTTGCTCTTTCAAACATTTTTTATTCTGTCTAGTCATTTGCAGCTGCATAGCACATTCCTATTTACCTTCATTACATTCCTCTGCTGCTCTAGCAAGTCTTCTTTTTCTGTAACTGAGAAAAAAAAAAATTAATTTCACTGTTTTGAAAAAGTCCTCAGATGATTTAAAGATACTGAAATAAAATATTTTAAAGCAATTCAAAACTTTTTCCTTTTCATCCAGAACTGGTTGTTGAGTTTGCTCAAAATTAGAAATACTTTTGGTCTTCTCCAACAGCCAGTATTTGCTGTATTTACTGTGGAAAAAACCCATGCTAATCTCACCCTTAGCACTGATTATGCATGGCATGACAGGTGGCTTCTTAAAATGGAAATACACTTCACTTTCCTAAAGTACTGGTAGAAATGGAATAGTTTAAAAATCTAATCTCTTCTCACTTTAGCCTGGTAAATGTCCCAGTGTCTTCAGAAGGCTCTGAACTAAAGTCTTGCATATTTCCTTCCTTTTGCTGTGAGTCTTTCAAATGAAAGGTTAGATTGATTCCAATACGATACAGATTATGTGTCTTGTATGTACCACATATTTTCAGTATGTTTAATGGAAGTATTTCTAACACAAGTGAATTGTCTTGATTTTTGAGCCCCTTCCTACTCAAAAAGAAAAAAAAAATGAAGAAAGGTTGAGAGAGACACAATTTGCATCTTTCAATTAACAGTGAAAATGTGTACTGCTGTAAAAATTTAATTCCATGTCCTCCATTTCATACAGTAACATTCAGATGTGTTAATTCAGAACTAAGAAAACAGAAGATAAAAAATTTATATTGTAAATGTTGTGATCAGACAGTCAGGGAGGGGGAAGGTAGATCAAACAAAACAAATTTCTCATAAAATATACCTATGGGGACAGAAGGATCTTAGACTGTTGTTGGAAAAACTGAGTTGCAAACCCATAAATATTTTCAGCTTTGATAGGAAGCCAAAACCTTTTTATGCAGGAACGTCCATGCAATGTGGTAACTGAAGATCAAACACTTCATCTCTTTAACAGATGCCTTCCAACTTGGAATATTCTATGACTCTATGATCTTGTGTAGTCTGCTCTCACTGCATCGTCCCATGATTTGAAGTAATTTTGTTTTCTTATTCCCCATCAGCAAAGGATTATAAATGCTTTCCAATCTTAAGTAATCAGATAACAGACAGTGTGGAATCAATATGATGCATATGAAATTCTATTTCATGGAATTATTGTTTTTATTATTTATATGTGAGGTTCCTGTTAACTATAATCCAAAATCTATTCAAGATAAAAAGACTTTTTCAACTGTTTGGGTTTTTTGGATTTTTTTTTTTTGCTTCACAGTTTTAGCAACATTATACCATTGCTCCTAGCTATCAGTTTGGCTTTTCACAGTATTTTATCATTCTAGCAATGTATGATATCTTGTTCAGTTCTTTGCCTGCATCAGCAGGAAAGTACAAGAAAGCCCCAAAGTCTGGAAAACATGGAAAATTTATTTAAGTATTTATGTGAGAATTGGTTAATTTAGAGATGACTGGATCATGACCTGAAATTTTATGAAAAATAAACTTTGCAGAAGAAAATAAATCAAAGGATTATAAACAAAGAGTGTATTTTTAGCAGTTAAAATAACTGAACATTAGAAGAACTTACTTTCAAAAGGGATTTGGTCTTTTGGAAGTATTTATTCCACAGAATCCTAGAATGGTTTGGGTCAGAGGGTTCCTTAGTGATTATTTCTTTTCTGCTCCACTGCCATGGGCAGAGACACCTTCCACTTGATCGAGTTGTTTAAATCCCCAGCCAGCCTGGCCTTGAACACTTCCAGGGATGGGGCATCCACAGCTTCTCTGGGAAAGCAATGGTAGTGATTCACCACCCTCACAGGGAAGAATTTCTTCCTAACATCTAGTTCAAATCTTCCAGTTTGAAGCCGTTCCCCTTGTCTTGTGCCTACATGAAACGTCCCTCTCCCACTCTCTTGTGGTATTGGGAGGAGACTCCCTCTCCTTCAGGTATTGGAAAGCTCTAAGGTCTCCCTGGAGTCTTCTCTTTGTCAAGGTTGAGCAACCCCAGCTCTTTCACTCTGCCTTCATAGTAACCCTCCTTTGGACTAGCTCTAAAAGGTCCATCTTTTTCTTTTGTTGTGAGCTGGATGCAGCACTCTAGGTGACATCTCAGCAGAGCAGAGTGGCAGAATTCCCTCCTTTGTTCTGCTGCCCACAGTGTTTTGGATGCAGCTTTGGATGCAAGCACACACTTACAGGTCACATCAAGCTTCTCGTCAACCAACAGCCCCAAGGCCTTCTCCTCAATGCTCCACTCAATCCATTCTCCTCTCAGTCTGTATTTGTGCTATGGATTATTCCAGCCCAGGTGCAGGTCCTTGAACTTGGCCTTGTTAGACATCATGAGATTCACAGGGAGCCACCTCTCAAACCTGTCCTCTGGAAGGCATCCCTCCCCTCCAGCATGTTGACGGCACCACACAGCTTGGTGTCAGCACCCTTGCAGAGGGTGCACTCAATCCCAATGTCCATGGCACTGACAAAGAGGTTAAATGCCCCTGGTTCCAGTACTGACCCCTGAGAAACACCACTCCTCCGCTTGGACATTGAGCCACAGCTCTTTGAGTACACCATATGGTCAGTTCTCCATCCACTGAGTGGTCAATGCACCTGTCTAGAGACAAGGATGTTACGTGGAACATAGCAACAACAACAACCACAATAGAGTCAAATGACTTGCACAGGTCCAGGTGTAGACACAAGATGCTCTTCCCTTATCCACCAAGTCTATCATCCTGCTGCAAGAGACCACCAGATTTGTCAGGCACATTTTGCCACGTTGGCTGTCACCAGTCACCTCCTTTATTTTCCTGTGCATTAGCATAGTTTCCAGGTGGATTTGCTCCATAATCTTTCTGGACATTCAGGTGAGACCGAGTGGCCTGTAGTTCCCTGGATCATCCTCTCTTTCATCTTAAAAAAATGGGGCTTATATTTCCCCTTTTCCAGTTGGTGAGAACTTTGCTGGACTGTCACGACTGCTTGGATGTGATGAATAGGAAGTGGCTTAGCCACTTCTTCTGCCAGCTGTCTCAGGATTCACAGATGCACCTCATCAGGCCTCATGGACTTGGTCACCTTCAGGTTCCTTAGATGTCCTTGAACATGACCTTTTCCCACAGCAGGTGGTTCTTCATTCTCCCAATACCTGCATTTGCCTTCTGAGACTTGGGTGATGTGGCTGGAGCATCTGTCAGTGAAGACCAAGGCAGAAAAAAAGTTGTTGAGTACCTCAGCCTTCTTTGTATCCCAGATAGTCAGGTCTCCCTTTTGGAGGGGCCCTTTATTTTTCCTTTTCTTCCTTTTATCAACAGCACACCTATAGAAGTTTTTCTTGTTGCCCTTGATGTCCCTGGCCAGACTGAATTCTATCAGGGCACTAGTTTCCTAACTGACCCTTGAATGCTCAGACAATTTCTCTGTATTCCTCCCAGGCTACCTATCCTTATTTCTGCCAGCTGTAGATTTTCTTTCTCCTTATGCTTGTCCAGGATCTTGCTCCTTTTTCATCCTTGCAGATCTCCTGGAGTTTTTGCCTGAAGTCCTCTTTGTTAGGATGCATTGCTCCCAAGTTATAAGAATGCAGGTGAGGGTCTGTGGTGTGCTACGAGAGGATATGACTAGGTGAGGACAGAGCGGGGAGGGCTGTGAGGAAGAGGATGAATGCCTGGGATGATCCTGCATACACTGGATTTCCTCATGAGGCATAATACCCATGTGCATTCATTCCCAGTGATGCTGCCTCCCAAATTATACAGATTTTTTTTCTTTTTTGAGGGTAGAAAAAATGTGAGGAAAAGAGATCAGCTCAGACTATCACAAGCACTGGAAAGGTTGGGAAGAGTCCATATTTCAAAGAGATGCTTAACTGCATTCTTCAAATATCTCTGTGAAGCCCAGTTACACATGACAGAGAAATGGTATACTCATTGTGCTGGGATCATTTCTAACTGGAATCTGGCCAGACCTTTTTAAGCAGAAAGGCGGGCAGGGGCACAATCCTGTCATTAAATGTCCTTGTCATTTTATCTTCATTCCTCTGATTCATTGCAGATGGTGCTTTGGAAAATGTTTTAGTGCCTTTCTCGCTTCAATTACCATCAGTTCACACTCAGTTCATAATGGCAGAATAATTGAGCAGGGGACTGGTTCACAATCCTTGTGGATCTTTTTGACATTTACTTGTGGTTCCTCTAGTTCCTTATCTTGCAGCAGATTCTTACTTAGAAGATGAAATCTGAAAATGTTTGAAAGTTTGAAAAAAGTACAAAGACTGATTACTTTGATAACTTTATTTCAATATTAGATTAACTATTTATGGATTAAAATGACATGTCCTAAGAAAAAGAAATATAGTAACTATGAGATGTATGACTCAATATGAAGTCAGCACAGTGTAATGCGCAAATTTTTTTTACAGCAAAGTCAAGTTAATAAAACACAATAGCAATGTCCTAATGCCATTATAACAACGCCATTAGACAAACTCAGGGTGCATAAATTATAGTGAGTAGTAAAGTCAATCAAGCATTTATTGCTTGTGAATCCCTGTCCACCATTTATTGATTAATGTATTATTGACACATTAATACAAATATTAGAGAGGTTTCTGGTTTTATGAGTATTGTAGTTGTAATTAAAAAATTATTAGAGAATTAAAGGATTATGATTTTTGTAATACTTCGTAGACATGGGGGTGATATGCAGCTAGTGGGATTCTACTGTGTCATGTAGTTCACTGACCATGATAAAATATTAGATTAGCTATACCAATAAATTTAAATGTTCAAAATAATTTAAAATTGAGTAAGAAAAAGGTGTTATCGAGACATTCTCAGCAGCATTGGACTTGTTCTTCTATGATAATATTTCTAAATAGTCACATAAATGTTGGTTTCTACAAAGAATTGGAAATAGTAATTGCACAGTATGGTGATCTGGCAGTCTGTCTGGAAACAAATCAAGAGAGGAATAATTATGCAAGACTTCAGAGCTTCAGTGTCAAAACCTGAATTAATTTCTGATTCCGGAAGACATTTATTTTCCAGCTTAAGGAAATAGCAAGTGATTTTTTCTGTGTTTAGTTTTAAATAATCTAGATGTTTGGATTTGTTATATCTGTGTGTTTGCAAACAGTAATATTATTCCTCATAAAACTAAGCAAGAAAAATCACCAAAATGTTCCAGACCAACCATCAATAAAGATAAATGTTCAAACATAATTTAAGTTTTTCTGAAGATGGTTCAGGTAAGCTTTTCCTAAACTTTGTTACACAGATTTGTAATTGGATACCTGGATGCCTTTTTCAGCCTCACACCTGCTCTTGAGAGCAGAATGAGATGGTGTGGCTAATTAGGTGCTTGATTCTCATAACAGCAAGAAATTAATTTACCATTTTTCCTGTTCTTTGTCTCACTGCCCTTTGACAAAAAACCTCAGGGTGGTTAGAGAAACAGGACCTTTTCTTACTTGAGTTATGCAATCCTTTTAAGACTGAGCAGACTCTTCTGACAACATTTGCATTGGCAGTAAACAGAAAGAGAGCTCTTCTGACCAAGAAATAGTCTGAATACCATCTCTGCATGGTGTTCTCTTTGCCTTCAGTGTCACAGACAAGATAACCAGCCATGCCTGAACCCTCCTATCCTTGCCCTGCTTTGACTGGGGAGAACATGGGCCCTCTGTCTTCTGTTCCTCTAGAGCCTCTGCCTGCTCCACAGGCCCAGCAGTGGAATCATGCTAAGAAGATTCTGTTCACACGTCTTGAAGGGTCTTTCCAACATTACATATTTCCTTTGGTGTCCTCATCCAACCCCAAGGAAAAAGGAGTCTGATGGGGTCCTGACCTCAGGCTGTGCCACAAGAGCTCTGGCATTCCCACGGTCCCGCAGGACAGAGGGGCCTTTTGTTTACCCCATTAAGGTGACACCAGCCAAGTTTTGCAGGTGTTGAGCACTGTGACACTGAAAGGCACAGCATCCTGGCACCACTGACAAACAATTTAATCCACTTGTTGCATTTGGCTTTATTACATTTGTGAATGTAGGAACCAACATCCTGCCAAGTCTTGGGGAAATGCCTTAAGGACTCATGCTCTCATTCTGCTGTCTCTGCATTGCTTCCATTTCCTCTCATGACACCCATTCTTGCACAGACACTTGCCCCCTAATATTTTAAAGCCACTTCTAAAGTCACTCATGTTTTTCTGTGCTCCCTCCATTGTCTCAGCCCCTGTGGTGTTTCATACTCAAGGGTTTTGTAGAGAATTCAACTTTGCCCTTGAGTTTTCTTGATAGTTTTCTTGATTTGTTTTTACTCCTGAGGAATTTGGGATAGGTCAGCTATCCTCTCTGGGTACAAGAAACAGAAATATTCTTCCCAGATAGGAGAGAGGACATCAGCTGAAATCACGTAACCCCATTGCTTAATATTTTCGCCTGGTTTTAGATGTCTCATATCTTGGAGTATAAGCTGCTCACATACCTGTGGAGATTTTTTGCATGAAATAGTCAGATTTCAAACCGAGTTCCTTTTCTGCAGCATTCACTACATCATCAGGCTCCTCGTTGTCTGGATTGCGGGTTGGCTGAGAACAGATTTCTTTTCTTATTTTATTTTTTATTTCCCTGCCTCATACTTATGCCTAAAAATTCTCCGGGGCAGAAAGTTTCTACAAGACTTTAATGGGGAGAATAGTCTTGGATGGGGAAAATATTTCCTAGCCCAATATTTAAATGTTTGACCTAATGTTCAAAATTAGGTAGAGAATTGGGCAGAAAAAATGTGTCTCTATAAACTAAAAGTTTTGCAGTCTCATTCCCTTTGCATTGCAGGGAGAACATCAAGAAGGGGTTCATCATAGGAAAAGGCCTTTTTTTACCATGGTTATATTGTATTTTTATGTTAATTCTATTTGCTCCAAAAATTAATTTTACAGGGAATCTGATAAGATATTTTAATTCTATATTTACCTAAGTTTAATGTTTACCAATAGATTGTAGCCCTAATCTTGAGAATTTGCTCGTGGTTTTAACTATTGCTCGCATACTATTTTCTTGTTCCCCGTCTTTTACTCAAAGTGTCTATTATTGAAACATGAGGCAAGCCAGGTTTTTTTTTTTCCCATCAGCTGTATAATATAGGTATAGATATAATTACTCTTAATATAAATTTATAACTTTCTACGAAACAATCTCAGAGACAATTTTGAATGCCTTTGCTTAAGTTTTTAACAAAAGAAAATAAATACATGTAGTAAAACAGTGCTGAATTTTCAAAAGAATAATTTAACTCATGTGAATGTTCTCAGAGAAGTTCCTTGTACAACACACCTGCCTAAAGTTGCTCCCACACAGAAATACTCGAGTGATTACGCTTGCAGTTTTTAATGAGTTACTCATAGAGAAACTCTCAGCTGAAATATGAGGTTTAAACGTTTTGCTGCTCTTTGAAGGAACCCAAATTCTTCTAAAAGCTCCTTGGCCCATGTATAGAATTACCTATAGGAAAAAAAAGAAGGTGGTAGACACATTATGCACAGATTTTTCAGAAAGGTATTCCATTGACATATAGACAATATACTGGCTAAGCCTTCTAATACAGTGAGAAAAAAATGTTTCCCTGTGACTTTTTGTATTTATTATCAGCTTCACCTTGGGAGTCCAAGTTATTTTTTAATACTGCTCCAATTTGCTTCTTTTCAAGGGTGGGGGAAGAATGGAATGAAGGAGATTACTTTTGATATTTATATTATTTTTACTGCACATGCGATGGTGTCAAGCTGTAAATTCCTTGCTAAATTTTTTAAATCCCTCTGATGTCTGACAAGGAGTTGGAAAAATATAAATGTTAAATTTTATGGGTTTTTTCCGTGTTACTATAGTCTGCAGTTCTATTATAAACTGTCATCTGTAATATAATCAAAAGAAAATTGGTAGGAAACCTTATTGTAGTCCAAGGAACATTCCTTTTTACATGAATTCACTGACTTTAATAGGATTTAGACTGTCTGGCTCAATCTGGAACTTTTAGAAAAATTTAGGAAAGATTGAGTCAGAAAAGAACTGGCTTGTTTATGGGATGTCCCCAAAACTTACCTTGATTTACAGTGATCTATAATGTCAAGAAACTTGCTTCCCCATTGAGTCAGAGCCTTTCAATCATGAAAAATGTGTCTATGTCATCTTTCCTACAGTACTTGTACCTTTCTTATTGCTGATCGACACCATTGTCAGTCTCAAGCTTAAAAAACTAGTAGCAAATTAAGAGTTGTAAAGGGTTGTTTGGCCTCCTTCCTTCTCTTTATTTTCCCGTCACAGCATGGTTTCTGGGCAGGGCTTGCTATTTGCATTTGTACTGACAGCCATGAGTGTTTGTCCTGGGCCGGGCAGGACAGGATGGTTTGAACACAGAATAAAGAAGTTGTCTTGCCCCTGGGAACATGTAGCTTTCTAGCTGGAAAGGAGTTCCTTACCCAGTAGCTGTGCCTTGTTCTGGCAAGACTGACCTCTGTCTTCTCCATTTGGGTGGTTTGGGACATCAGGACTTGCTTTTCCCAGGGGTTCTGGGACTTGAACTTCTGCCCAAGGCCCAAACCCAACCAGACCATGGACCTCATAACTGAGGAAGGTGCTTGCTCCCGATCTTGCTGTGAGCCAGTACACGGCCACCCAATCAAGAAACAGAGATGTTGGAAATGGCTGAATTTTAAGGACGCTTCCAACCCAAATGGTGATTCTATGACATGGCAAGGTGTTCCAGGAACTGCTGTCTTGAATGCATATGTGCCATCAGGATAAAAACAGAGAGAGTTTTTAAAAAGGAGAGAATAGAGGGAAAAGCTGGGTTCTGCCTTATGTATCTGAATGACCTGAGGATTCCTCTTGCTTGCAAACTAATCCGGATTCAAAACACAACATGGTGAAGACATGTTAAGAGGGTCTGCTCAGAGATGTTGGGGAGGTGACTCCAGGCTTAGTTACAAGGCTATCATATCAGCAGTTGGTGCTGTGTTTATGATCCATATGCTCCATATCTGATGGAGCCAAGTGAGATCAGTGAGATGTAGGAGATCACAGAATTACAGAACGAGAAAGGCTGGAAAGGAGCTTGGAAGGTCAGCTAGTGCAACCCACCCTGCTCAAGCAGGGTCAGCTACAGCCAGTTGCCAGGACCGTGTCCAGATGGATTTGGAATATCTCCTGGAACAGAGACCCCACAATCTCTTTGGGTAACCTACTCCATTGCTTGATCACCCTTGCAGGAAAATTGTCTCCTGATGTTGAGACAGAATCTCCCATGTCTGAGTTTGTGCCCATAGCCCCTTGTCACTGTGTTGCACTGACAAGGGCCTGACTCCCTCATCTTCATTCCCTCCTTTCAGGTACTTATAAACACTGATAAAATCCACCTAAGTGTCTCTTCTCTAGGCTGGAAAGTTCCAGTTCCCTCATCCTCTTTGGTTATGGAAGATCCTCCCAATCCCTGTATCAACTTTGTGGTCCTTCACTGGATTTGCTCCAGCAAATCCCATTCCCATATGTCCAACGTGACTTCATGGACTGCTCACCTCCTGAATGGGCCTGAATTTCTCACTAACTGTCATGAAGAGAAATCCTGAAGTCTGTCTGTCTAAAACTTCTGTGGGTTTTCAAAGGTACTGGAAGGCTCTCTCCTGTTTCAGGAAACTCAGGTTATTTTAGGCTGATGGAATTGTTGGGGCTTTTTTTGCCTTTTTTTAAAAAAATTACACTTATTAGCATAAAGCTAGTGAACAAATTACTCCTGCTGATATTTAAGAAGCAGCACTTTTAAAACTTACTTTTTAAATTTATTAACAGTGGGACTGACACTTAATACCATTTTTTTTTTGTATTAGCATAGTTAGCTAGTGCCCTAAAACTCATATGTATTTTTCTATTAGTTTTCCCTATGTATTTTCACTCTCCAGTTTTTCTGTTCCTTCACCTTGAATTATTGAATTTCCATTCTTCTTTTAAATAAACATCCTTTGCTTTTCTATTAGCACTAGACTTGCAATCTCATTCCCATTAATTTATTTCATTGTTTCCTTCATTTTCAGTTCTGCTACAAGTAGTTTCCAAAAGATTTCCATATAGATGTAATGTATAGACTATATAAATATAGTTTATGTAATAGATCGCTTTAATAAATTATTTACTCTAAAATATGAAGTCTTTATAGATAATATTATTTATGGAAAATATTATTTTTATGAATGTATAAAATACACATATAGTATGTATATATGAATTGTATAGATATAGATAACTATATATTACATAGATGTAATGATTTAATTAATTTCTTTACCATTTTTCTTGAGGTCAACTGCATTGTAGCTAAGCATAAAATTATATTCCCCTTTAAGCCTACTTTTTGGTCTTTCCTTTAATGTCTAGCTAGGCTCTTTGCAATATAATTTGCTGCAGTGAAACTGTTGGAGTAGGTCTGGGTTTCTACTCTCATTTTCTCCTGCTTTTTGCCTGGCTTTCTAGAAGGCCAGCAGATGCTGCCAGCTGTGCTCTCTGGAAGATTGCTGCTTGAACAGCAGCGCAGACTGGAAGGAGTGCTGTGAAGGGAGGCAGACTTGCACCTCAGGTGAGATGGCTCTTAGGGAAACTGAGTGCTCGCTTCCATGATGCCTGCATGCCATGCCAGCCAAGTGGCCTTGGGTCTCCATGACCAAATGAAGTGCCAGAATAGGAAAGGTGTGATTCATTTGCTGCTTTCAGCTCCTGTCTCTGGGTGCTGGAAACAGCCACTGGGGCAGGATTCATCCCACCCATCTGTAGCTGTTTGTTCAGAAGAGGAGCTGCATGAGACTGGTCAGAGGAGAAATAGAGGCATCTAGAGGTAACAAGGGTATCCTGCCTGGCCTCTGGCAGCTGGGGAAAGACTCCACAACTCCTGTAGGCCCAGTGTCATACCTACCAGTCCCATACAGGTGTCCTGGATACTTCAGGGCATTTAATGTGGAACTAGGTACATAAATCCTTTCAGATTCTTTTATGGCATAATTTCAGGATAGATCCTAGAATAACTTGAGGGTATTATCCCCTATAAATGCTGATTTCTTCTCTTTTTCCATCACAGGAGTCACAAAATGGGGCTCAGGCACATGAATGTCACCAGTGTTCACTTTACCCTGAGCTCCTGAGGCCATTTTCAACAGAAGGGGTGAAGACCTGCTTAGGGCTCCTCAGAGCTGGTTTGTGTACAGCCAGCAGCAGTGGGACACTGACCTCATCCAAATTAGCAAGCGGAGGCCAGGCAAGTCTCCTGAGGGCACCTGGAGTGGCAATAGATGTTGATAATAAGGCAAATTACTCCTGCTGATAAATGCTATGGGTCTCCAGGCTGCTGCCACTAGATGTCTGCTGCCTGTCATGGGAGCTTGGGCATTTATAGCTCATTTGTAGACACCAAATTGTGTTTTAAACTACAGCTGAATCCCATTTCTAAATTCAGGTGAGATAAACTGACTTCTTAGAATTCAGGTTTAGCTTCTAGCAATCATTTTTTTCTCTTGCCTTGTTTTTCTCCTTTTCTTGCCACAGCTGGAGCCATAACCACAAGCACAGTGTAAGGGAGAAGGTGGTGATGCTTGCTGCTCCTCATCTGGTGTGCAGCAGAGCAAGCAAGAGAGGTGACTGAGATGTCAGCCTACCAAATCACAGGAAGCACACTATGCCATATATATGTACTTAAGATATGACAAAAAACTCTTGTGTGTTACTCCATTTCACTTACACTACATGTGATGACTTGTTATATGTGTGCCTTTTCAGAGACATGGGCTTTAAAAGAATTTTTGGAGCAGAGTTCCCAAGAGGTATTTTCAGGTACTGGATCTGTAACTGTTCCGAGTGGGACCACAAGGTTTCTCTCGTAAACTTTTTGTGACAAGGGACAAGAGTGACCCACCTTAGTTCCAGGTTCCCTTTCCATCACCTCTAACATATCAATGAGATGTGGTGTAGCACTGCCAGCAACATCTGCAGAAAAAAAAAAAAAAGATTGCAACAAATCACACTTCATGAAACATTATAGTGGAAAAGAAAATGTGTTCCAAACCACGTTGGGATTCTGGAATTAATTCATTATTAAGCATGAGAGACATGGGCGCTGCAGACTCCTGCATTGTTTCCATCATGGAAAGCCCTAGATTTTGCAGTCTCCCAGCATGGAAAGCCACACAATCGAACATCAGCATGTATACTTTAGTTTGTGCATTTACTAAGTATTCATCACCTACTTAAAATCCAGAAAACTAAAACAAAACACAACACAGGGCACTAATTTTACAGTGGGCTGTTAACCAAAGACATGCCATGCTTCTAAGTTTCCCTTTCTGCAAATTGCTCAGCAGAAGCGAGTTTTACCACTCATATCAATCACACTACAGGATCAGTTCCTGAGCTGGGAAAGATAATTATTCTGGCTTCACTGTAGCTGTTACCTTTCATGGTAACAGCTGTTAATGAGAGGAATGAGGTTTGAATTGTAGAAAGCAAGACAAGGGTACAAACAAACCCCAATTTTTAAAAAAAGCTCTCAGATGTCCCAGTTACATCCCAGGCCACTGGGAAGAAAGAAATGAAAGCAAAGAATTGGGCATTTCAGTTCTAGCCGAGACCATTAGACAGTATAATTTTTCTCATGGTGTCACAGAATTGTTCTTAATATGACAACTCTCTGTGACATTACAATAGCAAGAATTCCTAAAAAATGCCCATTGCTTGGACAACAAATGATGGGGGGAAACTGGAGAATCGGAACACATGCAGAAACAAAGCAATCACAGGTGCAAGGCACATATCTATCTGAGGTGGCTGCTCCTGGGGACACCGGTCCTGCACATATGTGAGCAGATCCACACAAATGGCTCAGAGGGCCATGATCTGGTCCCTGCTGCGGGGTGATATGACAGATTGTGTATGATCTGAGTTTCTTACAGCTCAAGTTTCACTGGATGAGTAAAGTTTTAGCTGACCTTTGTTCCCAACAGATTACAAAAACTTCTCTTTTTTTAAATCTCTCCATAGCATTTTGTACTCAGGTTCACTTCTAGTTCTGTACAAACTTCTATGCTTGTAAATGGAAAAATACCTGCCAATAAGCCACATTTTTGTTTTCTGTAATCTCTGATTTATAACCCCTCTTCAATCAGGCACACTAGCAATGGAGCATTAATGGCACTCAGAAACCGGAGATTCAAATCTTCTCAGTTATTTATCACTTAGTGTTATAACTGCAGTGGGTGTGTTTTTGAACTGTTCTCATTGAAACATTAAATACAGTAAATAATCTCCTCTAAAGAGACTGGAACATCGTGGCAGTTATTTGACAACTGAGGGGCTGTAGCAACACTCAAAGCATATGTTAAGCCTTGCTGTTCAATTAGTATGCCAAATGGCAGCTCAAAATTTAACATGAGTTTAGTGCTTAGTCTGGGGATTGACTGGGAAAATATGGTTTGGAAATGTCTGCAGATAGGAGGAATATAAGGAAATTCCAAAAAAGCCAAGAAGCAGATGGTGTCCAGAGAGGTCTGGATTTTTCTACTATAATAGGAGATGGACAGCTCCGTTGACTACATGGTTGCCATTGGATATGAAAATTCAAGATTTTTGTAATTGAATTACTGGCAAAGAATTACTCAAAAGACCTGGGAATTTAAGACAAGCTATCCAGCCCTTAGATTCTCTCCTTTCCTGCAGTCATTCTTGTCAGAAACAACATGCCTGCAATTCCATTGGGTTCTATACAACCTCTATTCTCTCAGGCATAATAGGAATGAACCTTTTTCGTTATTACTAGGGCACTGTTCAAATGTGATTATAATAAATTCATACAAAAATACAGCTCATTAATGCAAAGTGCCTAAAAAAAGGTAACTACATACATTTAAATCCAGATCTGAATAGATGGGATTCAATTTGAATTCTTCAGATTTCAGTAATATTGAAATTTCACCCTCTATTATTTCTTCAGTAAATCTTCATTAAAAATGTTTGCTAAAATAAAAACATGCCTCTTTTTTATTCCAGGTTTATTTCCTGAAAATCATAGAATCATGGAAACACAGAATATCCTGAGTTGGAAGAGATTCATCCGTAACATGAAGTTCAACTCCTGGCCAAACACTACCTGAACTGTGCCAGGCTGGTGCTGTGATTCTTGGTCCTTCCCTGGGGAGCCTGTTCCAGTGCTCAGCCACCCTCTGGGTGAAGAACCTTTTCCTAATACCCAACCTAAACCTCCCCTGAAACAGCCTGAGGCCATTCCCTCAGGTCCTGTCACCACAGAGGAGAGATCAGTGCCTGCCTCTTCTCTTCCCCTCACAAGGAAGCTGCAGACTGCAATGAGGTCTCCCCTCAGTCTCCTCCAGGCTGAACAAGCCTAGTGTCCTCAGCTGCTCCTCTTAAGGAGTTAAATTGTTGAAATCAAGTTTTTAGATAATTCAGAGTACCTTTCCTACCTGTTTATTCCCATTGAAATGAACGGAACTTTTGTATTTGAAGCACTACCTTGTCTGAGTAAGGCTGGCAGATATCAGAAAAATAAATGATTTCTGGACTACTAGCATAAATGTTCAGATTTAGTTCAAAAAGGCCTTTCTGCCAAGTTATAAATTCTCAGACGTTGTTTACATTTGAAAAGCTGACATACTCTTCAGACCCATGTCTCAAATGCAACACTATAATTTCTACAGGTTTAAAGAACAAACTTTATTGATGAAACACAGTAATTAATCATGCCTTTTTGGTAGATGTGAATGTAGTTGTCACTCATGTCAGTGAGCAAGGGGACATTCATGGCTTTAGCTGCAGAACAATAGAAACCTGAAAATGACTGTGCTTATTGTCTGTGAAACAATGAAAAACTGTGGTAGGTACGTTTTACAGTCATGTCATAAAACATATCTGAGTAAGAACACATGCTTTTTTGATCATTAGGGTTTTTCCAACTGGATGAGCCAAACTGCACAATACTGTAGAATTTACTTTGATTTCTATAATGAATCACGAAAGCAATCCCACAAGGCTATCCAATGTAATAAAAGATTAACTATTTCCTAGTACAGAGTCATGTTTATGGAGATGTGCCAGTAGGTTCTCTAATTCAGTCTAGCAGAAATGTACCTCTGGCTGTAGAGTAGATATTACTCTAATTCTAAAATTTTCCTTTTGTGATATCAAGTCCTGCCTGGTTGCAACTTCCATTAGGTTTCCATGCATCACTGCATCTCATGAGACATAGCAAAAATTATATTGAGACACCAAAGACTCAATTGGTTGAGTTGAAACAAAATTTTAAATTTTGAAACCTGCTGGTCCCATTTAGAAATCTTGCCACAGATGTAAAATAAGTACATTTTGAAGCAAAATATGAAATCTTGCTTATTGCACGTAAAAATTAAAATATCCTTCTTCACATATATATTCACTGTGTCTTTACAAATAAAATCCATTCTCATGAGACCATGAAATATTACAGAACCATTTACACAATACTTTTTGCTTATAATTTGGGAGGACAAAAATTCTCTATAAGAAGAGTGAATTTTACTACTTCATGGATTTATCCATTTGACAGAGAGGCAGCTAAGCTACCCAAATAACTGTGTGGTTCTGTGACTATTCTGGACACATTATTTTGAGTTCTCCATCTCAAAAGTGACTTGTCTGATGAGAACAATGTTTCCTCTAAGGAGGAGATAACATGCTACCTGTGGCTTTGCAATCAGGAGAGGAAAATGAAGACAGACACGTATGGCAGTTCTCGGAACAGGAGTGAGGCTTCTTCTTGATTTTTGCTTGCTGTGTTTAAGTTATGACACACATTTCATGAATTACTACAGAGGGGAAAGAATTAGTGTTAATGATACAAATAAATACAGTTTTCTTGATAGAACTAGAAGATAAGACATGTTGGCTTAAAATTCACTGACAGAGGTTTAAGACATTTTACTCTCTGTTTGCCAGGAATTCTGTGCACCAGCAGTCTAAATGCACACGGCAGCTTCCATATATGTTTGTTCCCAACAGACTCCTGAATCAGCTTAAGGAATCATGCATATTTGATTAACTAAGATGTGCTACTGCTAAAATGCATTAAGAAAATATCTTTGTTACATAGTCTGGCAAAATCTGATGGTGTTAGATGTGAGCTCCATTCCCATCAGTGACATTATTTTTCAAGAAGGTCTTTGGAGATCCCTTCCAACCAAAACTAATCTATAATTCTACTACAGATTCATTTTTCATTTGAAGTATTGATATTGACTTAGTAATGTGCATAAGGAGAGT